GAGAGTGGAGAAGTAGTTTTCCCTAAGGAAGAGCCCGTAATTGGTTATCTAGTACCTAGGGATCAGCCCTGAAACCTTGAAATCACATACATACAAACAAAATTATATTTAGTAGTGTGTGTGTGTGTGTGTGTGTGTGTGTGTAACAAAGAAAAAATTGAATTTGAGAAAGAATGGGGACACATGGGAGGCGTTAAAAGGAGGAAAGAGAAGGGTAAATGATATTTATAATTTCAAAAAATATTTTAAAGTCTATTTAATTTAAGAGAAGTTCAGCTGGGCAGTCGTGGCACACGTCTTTAATCCCAACACTGGGAGGCGGAGTCAGGTGGATCTTTGTGAGTTCAAGGCCAACCTGGTCTACAAGAACTAGTTCCAGGACAGCTAGGCCTGTAACACAGAGAAACCTTGTCTCAAAAAAACAAACAAAAACAAAAAAAGGAGAGGTTCACAATAGTGAAAACAGATAATGGAATGAGACATGAGCTAAAACCTTCCTCAGAAGGGATAGGAATCAAGACTTAGTTCTAATTCCAGCACAAACATTCATAAATCCTTCAAAAACAGAATGTACTTTTCCAATGTTTTAATTGTCTTCTCTTGTCTCATGACTAGCTTGCAGTTGGGCCATGGGAAATGAATGAGGCCAACAAGATTTCACAGATTTGCCCTTGGGCATCTAAATGCCTTCACATACAGTCTTTTCTAGAATCCAAATATAGTTTAAAAATATCATGTTGCCAGTATCAGAGTCTTTTAATTTTAGGCTTACAGAGTCTGAGCAGTACTCAGTCATAGAGAACAAGGCTCAGTTTAACCTAAATACGTGGCGACTGTTTAAGAGATAAGGAATAAACAGGTTCTACTAAAATAAAAGTAAGCAGACTCTCGAACTTATGAATTATAATTAGGGATGGTTGAACCTGTTTGATCAAAGAATATGCTAATTCTTTAAGCCAAAACCTAATTCCTTGTTGGAGATCTTGACACCATCAGGATCAAGATATGACTTCTGGTGACTCCAAACTGTTGGAAAGCAGCCATGATCTCCACTATACCAACAACACAGATGACTTTAAACTATTGGAATGCCAAAACCAATACTTCTGGTTCTTCAGCACTTAAACAATTTGAGTTGAAAGAAAAGTGGGGTGTATATAAGATTAAGGCTACTTAAAACATGTTCTATAAAAAGTGGTGAGGGTACACAAAAACTCAGATTACCAATTATACAGACAATTTCTTGGTTGGAATTAGGATCATATACAGTGTGAGGGACAAGGGCAAGATGGAGCTCTTGAAGGTCATGAGTATACGTCGGATCAAAATTGATAAGGTACTTGATTTCTTGAAACAAGTACTGTGATCCTGATAAGGCAAGTCTCCTACTCCCCTGAGCCTGTTTTTGCATCTATAGAAATAGAAAATGATGATATCTGTAGTGCTGACCTCACAGGATGTCATAAAACTCCACTGAGCTAATATATAATAAAGCAAAATAAGAAGCTCTAAAAATGAGTAGGATTTCAACTATGCTACCAGCATAGACGATCATAAATATAAAAGAAAACATTGGGCCACTGTGTAAATCAAATGACTGGGGGAAGAAATAAATGCATAATTGATACCATGTGAGTCATGGGAACTGATTTATGAACGGAAGTGAACACTGATAAGCAAGATGCATCTTCTCAGTAGTTGGAAAGACTTAATGACGGATTGAGCTTTTAGAGCCTGTATTTAAAACATTTATTTCACTTTTAATTTTGTGTCTGTGTATGTGGGTCTTTGCATCTGAGTGCAGGTGTCTGAGGAGAACAGAGATGTTGGGTACCCCTGGAGCTGGAATCCTATGTGGTTTTGAGCTCCTCATCATGGAGGCTGGGCCAGAAGTTAACTTGGGTCTTCTGGAGGAACAGTATACACTCTTACCCATCGAGCTATTTCTTTAGCCTCTAATTTGTCTTTTTAAGTACACAAGAAATAACCTCTTAGCTATCCCCTTCTCCTCCACCCAAACCACCTCCTCTGTAAATAAACAAATTACCAGCACCAGGGTTGCAGTGTGACCAGAATGACAGGCTAATCAACAATAGGAAACGATATTGCAAATACAGCTGAGGGCACAATGCACACAAGAGCTTTGTCAAGTTCTTCTTATGAAACTTCCTGTCACAAACATCCTTTCAAAACTGGGACGTGCTGCCTGCCATTTTCCAAAGCACATCATCAGGGAGAATTAGAGAACCCTGTTTCTCATTATAATTAATTGGTCATAATAGGAACTTTAAACAATTGGGATCATGATGTAAGTATGACATGTACTTCCTTGGATGAAATCCTCCCTGAGCTACAGGAAATAGGTCAATAAGGAAGTATATGTGCCCCAGACACACAAGATGGACTGAAAAGACCAGTTGCAGATTCTCCACTAATGAGTGACCCCTGCTGGATTCCTGCCTGGTGAGACCTCAAAGAATTCATTTGTTTCCAAGAAAAACAAAGGCCACTCAGGACCTAATCCAAGTCTTAAGACACAGAAGACTATGGAGCTGGAGAGATGGTTCAGTAGTTAAGTGTACTGGCTGCTTTTCCAGAGGACCTGGGACCATGCGGTAGCGCATAGTGAATCCACAGTAGCTGTAAGGCCTTGATAGGGAGGATTTGATTTCATGCCCTCTATCCTCTGGAACTCAATTAGAAAGTTATTTGTAGTTGCAACTTTTTGCATTAAATGCTATTTTGAAATGATATACAATCTGCGTTGTAACGGTATACACTTTGATGCTCATATTAAATCGACAGTCTGAAGTTTCTAGATGTAGAAAATAGAATATAAAAAGCTAGAACACTGATGAATTCTTTAAGAGTTAAAGACCTGGGAGAAAAGGTAGTAACAATAAACAGTCCACCCCTGAGGTCCCCTCAGATTGCAATAAAAATGCAGGGTTTGTGAAGCCCAGGATGGGGGGCATAGATTAGAGTTTGGGGTCCCACATTAATTCAGATTCCCCCAAACAAACCTTAAGATGAAGTGGAAGTGGTTTGCTAAGGAAGCACTAAGAATAGGAACCAGCCAAGGAGAGAAAGGCTCTCACGTAAAGTCCAGTAAGGCTGCAGAAGGGAGCTTTTAGCTGATCCTGCAGGCACACCTAAGATATGTCAGACCCCAAACTTGTTCCAACTGCAGGCAGGAAGCTGGGCATTCAGCATCTAACCACCACTGGAGGAGAGTAATCGCCAACACTCCGAGGTTATCGGAACATTTGCACAAAGGGTTCTGTTTGTGTAAAATGGTGCCAGTCGTTGGAGAGCAGGTCTCAAACAAGAGCTGCAGGTCAGACTACTAGAAGGAAACCTACCCTACTGAAGAAAAGGGTTGCGGGGGCATTCAAGAAAATCTGAGTGCCAACAGTGTCCGCTACAGGTTACTCAACCTCAGGCTTGCAAAGACGGGAACTTGCATGATATTGATGGTGGAATCTATCCAAAAAAATAATTCAGAGGTTTTTATGATCTCCATGGACAGAATAAGTTATTTCGTTCTAGACTTGATAGGATGTCAACAGTCATTTCCTTCTTTTCTTACATAGCTAAGCTACATATCATGCCAGGTCTCTGCGGTCCACGCTGAAAAAATAAACTAGAAATAGTCTTTGTGCTTGCTGATGAAAACTAACACGAACCTGCACAACATTCTCCTGTATAATAGATAACGAGTGCTCTGGCTCGCTGGTAATTTGGAGGCCATGATGCTTGATTTCAAACGAATTGCTGCAGAAGGATTACAATAACTGTAGATTCAAGAGCAGTCGAATGATGTGCCAACATTTTAACCCATCCAATAACCAGCACTATACAACAAATATATTTTTGCAAGCAGCTGATATTTGGTAGAAAATTACAAAAAAACTTTGAAAACATATTAAAATAAATATTAACCAGCCTGTTCTTCACAAGATAATGTCTGAACAAATATATGGGATAATTATTTGTAATTGGACATGGACACTTAAACAATAGTGTAGTTAAAACAGATACTGGAACATTCTACATGACCCAAATAATTTTTTTTTTTTTGGTTTTTCGAGACAGGGTTTCTCTGAGGTTTTGGAGCCTGTCCTGGAACTAGGTCTTGTAGACCAGGCTGGTCTCGAACTCACAGAGATCCGCCTGCCTCTGCCTCCCGAGTGCTGGGATTAAAGGTGTGCGCCACCACCGCCCGGTGACCCAAATAATTTTTATCAAGTAGCCTCAGTAGTGAGATTACTATCTATGTGACTGAAAAATCAATTATAGTTAGTAAAAATTTTGACTTTTCCTTTTTCTTATTGTTCATTCTGTGAGAGTCATAAAGAACAGATTTATGGACAGGTGAGATGGCTGAGCTGATAAAGGTGTTTGCCAAAGAGCCTGCCGACCTGAGTTCAATCCCAGTAGCCACATGGTGAAAGGAGAGAACTGGCTCCTGGAAGCTGTCCTTTGACCTCAACATGCACTCCATGAAATGCATGCACACAGGCACACACAATAAAACAGACAGAGAAACACGAACACACACATAAGTGCATGAATAAATAAATGCAATTTTAAAAATTTAAAGCAAATATACTAGTCACTTTAAGTCATTTCTAAGTATAAATAAGATTATTTATGGATTATATTTCTTTGTTCTCAGAGTCCCCTGAGATAATAGAATAGATAAGACACTGAATTATAAAGATCACTTGTAAAAAGTGGTCTTAAGATGGCATTGTGCTAGGCATGGTGGAGCATGCCTTTAATCCAGGGGTAGAGGCAGGCAGATCTTTGTGGGTTCAAGTCAACCGAGTCTATCTAACAAGTTCCTAGTCAGCCTGAGCTACACAGTGAGACCCTGTCTCAAAAACAGTAAACAAACAAACAAGCAAAACAAAAGACACAACTGTATACTGGTGACTTTTTTGCTCAAGTCTATTTTACTTTTTTTTTTTAAATTATAACAAAAATACAGAACAGAATGAAAACTAGTATAGGGTTTAGAGAGATGGCTCAGTGGTTAAGAGCACTGCTTGCTCTTCCAGAGGACCTGGGTTCAATTCCCACAACCTAATGGGGGCTCACAACCAATAATTCCGTTTCATGGGATCCAATGTCCTCTGCAGACACCAGGCAGGCAAATGAAGCACAAACCTGGAGTTAAAACAGTCATATACACAAAATTACAAAAGATAAAGTTCTTAAACAGCAAGTATAGCACCTGATTACTGTGCATAGCTTTACGTCTATAAAGTATCAAAGATTTTGAACAAAAAGCCCTTTGGGTTAGTCAGTATTGGCTCACTACAGCAATACCTGAGAGATCAACTTACAAAGTTTATTTTGGATTAGTTTTGGAGTTCCAAAGCATTCTCTCTAATGTAAGACGTTAGTAGATGGTGTCCCTGTTTTCAACCTTTAGTGGAGGCAGCCCATTATGGCAGAGCAAAACCTTTCCCCTCCTACTGGGGAGTGAAAAGAGAAGGGGCTAGACCTTTACCTCCTAGGGTATATTTTCAGTGGCTGGAATCTCTCTCAACAGGCTCCGTTCCTATAGGCTCTACCATTTCCCAACAACAGACTCTGGAGGAAGAGTTAACATCTGAAGTGCAGGGCTGGAAAGATTGCGCAAGGATTCCTTAAAACACTTGAAACTCTAGCAAAGGACCTGGATTTGGCTTCCAGTATCCACATTGTGGTTTACAACTGCTCAGATGATCCAATGCTGTGCTCTTGCTTCTGAATCTCCAGGCACATACAGGTGTACATATTAACATGCGGGCAAAACGTCCCTACTCTACACATAAAGTCAAAATAAAATCTAATAGAGCTGTTAAAATGGCTTATTGTCTAAATATCATCCAGAGATGGGTTGCTACATGGGCAGCAAGACAGAGAGGCTAAATCGAGATTCAGAGCAAGGAGTGCACAATCAGATTAAGGGAACGGTGTGGTGGGGGGGGGGGAGTGTGATGGTAAAACCACAGTGGCAGGGAAGGGGCTATCATTGCCACAGTAGAACTGGTTAAATATGACTCTTGCCCATAATCTAGAGGCTAAAGCTATGGCTTAGTGGTTAAGAGCACTTGTTGCTCTTTCAGAGGACTCGAGTTCAATTCCCAGTACATACTGGATGGCTCTGACACCTTCTAGTTCAAATATGAAGATTCAGGCAAAACACTGATAGATCAAATAAAATGAATATTTTTTAAAAGCCTTTAATCTGGGCTGGGGAGATGACTCGGCTGGTAAAGTGCTTGTAATGCAAGTATCAGGACATGAGTTTTGATCAGCAGCATCCCCATAAGAGCTGGACATGGCAGAGCCCATCCCGGCTCCCAGTGCTGGGCGGGCCAGACAGGCAGACATCCCCAGACCTCACTGACCAGCTAGTCTAGCTGAATCAACTAGCTCCAGGCTTATCAAAAGATAAGGTGGGGAACAACTTAGGAAGACTCCTAACATTGACCTCTGGCCTCTATACACACATGCACACATGTGCCCACAAGGGTTCATGTGCACCTCACATGCAGACATGCAGACACCCACAAACATGTACACATACACCTCATGTTCTTATTTGCTTTCTGTTGCTGTGATCGACGTTATAATCAAAAGAGACTTGGTGAAGAAAGGGGTTTATTTAACTAACAAGTTATAATCCATCATCTAGCAAAGCCAAGGTGGGAGGTGAGACCATGGAGTTGCTTCCTGGCTTGCTTCCCCCTAGCTTACTCAATTACCTTTCTTATACAGACTAGACCCACCTCATCACAGTCTTGTAAAAAGGCATCCGCTACATCTGTGGTACACAGACATTCATACAGGCAAAGCACTTATATACATAAAATAAAATAAAATTAATTAAAAAATTTTTATTTTATTTCTCTGTGTGTGTTCTTGTATGTGCACATGAACGTGGGTGCTGGAAAAGGTCAGAAGAGGGTATTAGAGTCCTTGGAGCTGAAGTTACAGATGGTTGTAAGCTGCCATGTGGGTGCTGGGTATTGAACCCCATTCCTCTGGAAGAGCAGCCTGTACTCTTAACTGCTGAGCCATCTCTCCAGCCCTCAGCTAAGTCTTTTGAGGCAGAAAGTTATTACAGAATCTACTGGGAGCACGGATGATGGCAGGACTGAGCGATTACATAAGTCACTTCACTAAAAAGTATCTCCATTGTGCTATTTTGCAGACAATCTTTGTTGTTGTGCTCCCACCCCCAAAACCAAACAACAACGAAAGCCCAAATAAATAAACAGAAGGGATTAAGTATCTTCAACTCCTTGTGCAGAATACTACATCGGACTTCTTTGCCAAGCGCCTGCTCTCCCACTTCTCTAGCTAAAACTGTTTTCTTCTTTCGACATTTCCTTGCAAGGGTTGTTCATTCACCAAAATCCCAGAGAAGTGTTTGAGGTTGCAGCAAGGGTATTAAAACCACGTGACTGTGTGGCAAGAAAGTGACCTTTGAAGTTCCTGTTTGACTAAATTTCTGACAAGGAAGGAGGAAATGCAGTGCTGTGTATCTTGTTCATCCTATTTGCTGATGTCTGGTGATTTTACTACCAGGAAATTGTTATATTGTTCTTTGGAACCTGGGCCGGCTGTGGTAACCCAAACAATGGCCTCTCATGCGGGCCTTTGAAATGAGTCTCAGCGTTCAGCTTCCAGATGAAAGAAAAAAGCGGGCGCTTGCAGTCCCTACAGAGTCTCACACTCTCCACAAACCAGACTTCCCTTTGCAGCAAAGAATCAGAAAGCTAGAATTTCCACACAGCTAGTAAACACCAACGGCAGCAGGCGGTAACAGTCGGGTATGGTCATCTCTACACTGTCTCGCTTTCATATTCTCCCTAATGGTTTATTTTGGCCCATTCTCATAAGATACACATTCAGGGTCATGGCAGGTATTAGCTCCCACCCCCGCAAAAAAACAAAACAAACAAACAAAAAACCTCTCTCTTGTTTTAAATTTAGGTCAGAAGACAACTTTGAGGAGTCTATTCTCTCCTGCCACCATGTGGGCAGAACTCAGATCGTCAGGCTTGGTGGCAGGTGTCTCACACGCCTTGTAAGTAAATAAATAAGTGAAATCAAAATTTCAAAAATAGAAAAGAACTGGATACAATTCCATCCAATGGCTCGCAGAGTTCACTGGATAGGTGGGCTGCACTGGGCAGTTAGGGCAGATCTTTTTAACTGCTAGATCCTAGTGTCCACTAGGGAACCACACAACTGAATGTGGTTTTTCAAGAGGAACTAAACTCACTGAAACACAGCTTAGGGGACAGTTTACTATCGGCAGCAGTCACATCTGCCCCGTGTGGGGTGGGAGGGCTAGCAGTTGCCAGCAGCACTTATTCGGGCCCTGAAAGGCTTTGGTGATAGAGCAAGGGACTAGGTGTCCAGCTCAGAGCAGTTCAAGGGCCAATTGCCCACTTCAGACAGCTTAATGGGAGCCTTTCATGTGCCTACCTTCAAAAGTTAACCTCTCTCTTTCTTCGGCAAAGATCATGTTGCAGAGAAGCTGGAGGTCATAAGGCCTTAGACTCTCAGAATCGCTGCTGTCTGGCTGTCGGAGTTCTTTCATTATTACCTCCCCTATGATCACTCGCAGGCATAACAGGGAAGAGATCAAATTCCTGCCCTTAGCCAGTCCTTCTCTTGGCCCAGATCCTTACATCCTGTTAACAACTGAGCTGCCCAAACAATTGTGTAGACAAGAAATTCAGATTGCATCACTGGTCCTTCAGGGTCCCCTTCACCACTGCAGTGGTCAGAGCACCCCAACCTCAGTCTGTAGCTCTCTGAGCTAGGCCCAGTCATCCCTACAGCACACTCTCACTGTTTTCTCTGGAAGGTTCGCCCCCTGATGCGCCTGTGAATAGGTTGAATGGGTGCTTCCTTATCAGCCCAGCCAATTGTTCTGAAGTTGCAGATTCCAAACTTATTTTTGCCTTATTCTTTGCCTATTTTGTCTTTATCCATTGTACTTCTCACCCGACACCATTTGCAAAACAACACTAACAAAACAAATTCTCTGTAGACCAGGATGACCTCAGACTCCGAGATCCAACTGCCTCAGCCTTCCAAGTGTTGGCATCAAAGACGTACACCACTACCACCTGGCTACAAAAAAAGTTCTCAACTAGGAATGTAAAGAGATGGCTCATTGATTAAGAACACTCTCCACTCTTCCAGAGAACGTGAGTGTGGTTCCCATCACCCACGTCACCTGTAACTCCAATTTCAGGAGATCTGATAACCATTGGCCCCTGAACTAACACGGTGCACATAAACTTAGGTAGGTACATCTACACATCAAAATAAAAAAGCTAGGTGGCAGAGGTGCATGCCTTTAATGCAAGCACTAAGGAGGCAGATGCAGGCGAATCTCTGTGAGTTTGAGGCCAGCCTGGTCTACAGAGTGAGTTCCAGGACAGCCAGGACTACACAGGGAAACCCTGTCTCACAAAACTAAAATATAATAAAATTAAATAAATGTAAAAATGTTACAAAACTCCTGTTTACTTTTGCTTGTTTAGGCAACAATATCCACCTGCAGTCCTCAAGCAATGAGTATTTCTCAGACACTCCTAGAAACCTTATCTTTTCTCTAAGACACTTGAAACGGAGGCCTGTTTCTGTGCACACAGGAAGCAACTGCTTGATTGGTTTGCTTGTGTCTCCAGAGGTGCCTGTCAGCTCTGCCTTCTCAAGAAGAGTTGAAAGGCTCCAGTGGCAGAATTAGTCAGGTCCCCAGGGCCTGAAACAAAGCTTTGGAGTGAAATCAGGCAGAGATGATATAACCTACCTGACAGGAACGAGGATATTCTAAAGAAAGACATAAGTCTCCGCCTTCCATCATCAGACTATTGAAACAAGGCATCCTCAGGACCTGCAATTTTCCCAGGAGTCTCCTGTGCTGGGAGAAGGAAAAGGAAGAAACCTGTGTCAGCTAGAGAAGGAACTTGCTCAAGAGAGATTCACAGAGTGCTGAGAGTGTATCCGACCACGTTGACCAGAGCTGCTTACCTGCTATGGTACTCTGACCCTCCTTAAACCTAAGCCTCATTCAGGACCCTGAAGATAGACTGGTGGGGAGGGAGATAGGAGTGTGTATGTGTGTGTAGGGTGTGGGGGGTGTCATCAATAGGTATCTTTACCCCTCTTCCAAGTATAGTCACATTGAACGAATCTGTTGCTGCTTTTCACTGTTACTTGTTCAATTAATTGACCTGTTCAACAACAAGGGTGGCTGTTGCTCCTGGCTCATCTTGTAAGGTGGTCTGACAAATTGCGAGGACTGTTTAAGCTTTCTTTCCAGGAGACAGGCCCCTCTTCAGGCTGCATGTTGCTTCCCATTGGTGCTGGTTAGCTTTAACTGTCAACCCAAGACACTCTAGAATACCAACCCGAGACAATCTAGAATAAAGTGGGAAGAGTCTTAACCGGGAGTTATCTAGATCAGGTTGGTCTCAGGCCTGGCTGTCGGGGAGCACCTTGCTTAATAACTGAGGTGGGAAAACCTACCCTGAATGTGCACAGCACCATTTCATGGGCTAGACCCTGATGCAGAAGAATAGAGAAAGCTAGCTGAGTAGCAAGCAAGCAAGCAAGGATGGTTTATTCTCTCTTGCCCTTGGCTGTCTTTATGATGTGCCAGTTGCTTCAAGCACCTGCCACGGCGCCATCCCTGCTGTGACGGACTGTACATGCAATTCTGAACCAAAACAACCCTTTCCTCTCTTGAGTTGCTTTTGGCCAATTATTAAACAGAGCAAAAGCCCTCGAACTAGAACATCATGCTTCAGTTCAGCGTCCGGTTCCCCTCTATGCTGTCCCTCTTCACACCCCCACGTTCCTCTCTTATAGGCCTTTCCTGCCCCCCCCACTTTTATGCTCTGAAATGATGGATCAGCCAGACGAGTGCAAACTTTGTGTGAGAGTTAATCTTGATTATCAACTTAACATGATCTCGAATTAACATGAAGCAAGCTTTGAATTATTTAGTTAACTGACCTGGGTAGAAGGCCAAGAAAACCCCTGAGCTTCTGGGACATTCTCTCCTTTGGGGCAGGCCTCTATCCTTACTAGTGAGAACGGATTAGTAAGCGCACCACCAGATTAGTCAACTGATTTGGACAACAGAGAGACGTGCTCTTACTGTCTCCCACGGCTCCCCAGCAGGACTGTGTACCTTGCCTTGGTGAGTGGTTGGCCTGGTTAAGAGCCTTTGTCTGGTCTTTCTTCTTCACCCCACTTCCCCACCTCTTTCCACTTTGGGATTATTTCCCAAAGGTATTTCATAAATAAACCTTTGCACTCTCTCCTTATCTCGGAGTATTTTAGGATTTGAAATGCTAGGTCATGTGGTAACTCTATTTTTAACTTCTTGAGAAACTTCAAAACTGCTTTACACAGTGGCTGCGTCATTACACACTCCCATTAATAATGAGAATTTCGCTTTCTCCACACCCTCATCAGTACTCACTATTGCTTATAGTGATATTTCAATTGTATTTCAATAAATAAAGCTTACCTAAAGATCAGAAAGCAAAAGAGCCAGCCACTGGCTCTTACCTCTACCTCAGTCCGAAATGGCGATCCTGACTCCAGGAATCTCAGAATGAGACTGTGTGTGAGAGCTGTCTCTTCCTGTTTTATATTCCTCTCCAGTGCTAGGATTAAAAGTGTGCACCACTACTGCCCGGTTTCTATGGCAAACTAGTGTGGTTATTGGAATTAAAGGTGTGTGTCACCACTACCTGGTCTGTAAGGCTGACCAAGGTGGCTGTTTGCTTTCTGATCTTCAGGCAATCTTCATTTATCAAAATACAATAGAAATGGCACTACAATTGTTGGTCTTTTAAGTAGAGCCAATTTAGGGAGCATGAAGTGTTATCTCGTTGCAGTTTTGATTTTTATTTGCCTAAAAACTAAAGATGTTAAACATCTTTTCATGTGTTTATTGGCCATCTGTTTATTTTCTTTGGAAAAATGTCTATTTGAATTCTTTGGCCATTTATTTTTTTATTTATTTCATGTTTTCAGATTTTAAAATTTTATTTTATGCATAGGAGTGTTTTGCATGCATAAAGGTATGCATGCCACGTGCATTCCCCATGCTTTCAGAGATCAGAAGAGGACATCAGATCCCCTGGAACAGGACTTACTGAAGGTTGTGAGCCGCCATGATGTATAGTGTGTAAGACCTAGCATGTGAAAAGTTCCAACTTCGATCCTTCCAACCATAAAAATGATAAAATACTACTTCTAATAATAATAATAATCTAAATACTAACCCTACCTCATTTTTAATGACTGTGCAGTAGTCCATGATAGGGGTGTTATATTGTTTCCATGCTGACAAACCATGCTGGTTTCTTCTTACTTTTTTTTCTGCTATTATAAGCAATAGTCTAAGTAATACAACTGTACAAAACTCATAACTTAGGTATTCTTATAATATTAGTTCCAAAGAGGAAACACAGTCAATGGACATTTAAAATGTAAGTGGATATTTCCAAGTTATTGTCTCAAATTGCCGCCCCAATTTCCATTCCCGAAACAAGATCGCAATATTGTTTACACAAAACAATTGACTCTTATGTCTAATTGCATCCAGAGTCCTTGGATAGAAAGTATACAATTGATTGCCTGGGACCTAAACACTTTTCTACATACTTGTATACTGGAAAAACAAAATATGCATAACGTTCAGAAAATATGTTTGATGAGTATTCTTTTCAAGTGTATCCATTTTTTCCTCAAAAGACTTTATGACACACTAGAACAGTTATAATGGAAAGGATGGGCAAAAAAAAAAATCAATGTTGGCAAACATGCAGAGCAGCAAGAACTCATACAAATGGTAGAGCTGAACAATATTTCAGTGATTTTAGAAAATTATTTGATGGACTTTCCTGAAACCAGACATCAGAGCTGACCATTCAACTTTTAAACATAATCAACAGAATTCTTGACATGTCATCTACCAAGATATTCTACGGTGTTTGTGGTAGCGATATTTATGTTAGCCCCACCTAGACAGAGGACACAGTGCCCATATATGTGGCACGTAGGCACGCTGAATCCTTCAAATTGAAGGAGATTAACGTGGCTCAGAAGCAGGATTCCTTCAACTACCTTCCTATCTCTGGAAGTCTACACAATAGATAAAGAGACCGCGACTAGGAGAATTTTTGAAGGGGTGGGAAGTAAGGAAACCAATCACACATTTGAGTCACAGACCACTGGGGCAGGTTTCTGAGCTGTCTCTAAAATGTGACAGAAACCTTCCAGCTGCTTTGTCATTTCCTAAGGGTACTGAAAATCTGAATGTGAACCTCTTCAAATGACTTTGTTTTTAAAAAAAAAAAAAAGAAAGAAAAAGAAAAACAGTGTTAGTACTGGGGAGATGGCTCATCGGTTAAGGGCACTTATTGCTCTTCTGAAGAACCAGAGTCAGCTTCCAGCACCCACGTGGGTGGCTCACAAGCCTAAGCAGCTCCGGTTCTAGAAGAATGACTCCTATTTTGCCCTTCAACAGTCACTACAAGCACATAGTGCACTTACATATGCCAGGCAAAGCACTCATTGTCTTAGGGTTTTATTGCTATGAAGAGACACCATGACTATAGCAATTCTTTTAAAGGAAAACATTGAATTGGGGCTTGCATACAGGTTCAGAGGTTTAGTCCATTATCGTCATGGCGAGAAGCATGGCAGGATGCAGGCAGACATGGTGCTGGAGAAGGAGCCAAGAGTTCTACATCTGGATTGACAGGCAGCAGAAAGATAGAGTGACCCTAGGCCTTGCTTGAGCTTCTGAAACTCTGAAGTGCTCCTGCCCCCCACCCACCTGCGCAACACAGACTTCCTCCAACAAGGCCAAACCTCCAATAAGGCCACTCCTTATGAGTCTGTGGGGTGCCTACGGCTATCCAGCAGAGGACAGATCCCAGCACCCAGCAGAGGAGGTAAGGAGGTGATGGGGGACAGAGGTGAGCCAGACCATCGTGATGGTGAGAATCTTGCAGCCTGGCAAACTGGCAGCCAGAATGTGTCTTTATTTATACAGAATTTAGTAAGCAGGGATACATTCAAGTCGTTCTAAAACATAGATCATATCATTTTTGGTTTTGGATTTGTGTTTCACTTCCTTTTGCTCATCTTTTAGTCATCACTAATAAACTATGACAGAACAGAGTTGTCATTTCCAATTTTCCAATCATTTTTCCTCTCGAGTTTTTTTTTTTAATTATTTTTTTAGGACAAGGTTTCTTTGGAGCTTTGAAGCCCTTCCTGGAACTAGCTCTAGTAGACCAGGTTGGCCTCAGCCTCACAGAGATCCACCTGCCTCTGCCTCCTGAGTGCTGGGATTAAAGGTGTGCGCCACCACTGGTTCCTTCAAGTTTTGACATCATTGATAAACAGACTTATCTTTATAATCATTCTTACTCACTAACCCCATAACCCAACTTTTAAGACTCTAGAGGCATATGCCGGCCTATTCTCAGGATAGTAGCTTTTGTGGCTACAAGGACACTAGACAAAAACAAAATCTCCAAGCTAGTCCAGGCAGATTGCCCAAACAGTGTATCATTAACTCTTAATGGTCAGAGTGTTCAAGAAATATCCTCAGGCCAAAGTTCTTGCAGTTATTTTTCAAATTCTGGCATAATACAATGTTTACATTTTATATCTTTATAAAATGTGTTTATAAGTCTAATCCTGGAGTTCTGCTGTTCCTTGATCACATGACATCACAGCGGCTCTGCATGTGCTAACTCTTCTAAGAAAGGAAGTCCTAACATCTCATTCTTTATCATCTTTCCACTCACTCCATGCTTTGCTCATTGATATCAGTCTCTGTGTAGGGCTGAGATAACTTCAGCAAATCTGACTTTGTTGCTGTATACGCCACGTAATTGCCTGAGTGTACAATGGGAAGAGGTTTGCAGTCTGAACTGTGGCCCACTCCTCTAGCCCACCGAACCTTATTGACCCTTTTGAGTTTTATTTTGTTTTGAATAACTTGGTCCTGCATAAGTCCAGGGACAGATGTTTCAAGCCTCATAAAGAGACCTCTGGTTATGGGGTCCATTTTCACTCAAACCATACACATAACTTATTTTATTTCTCTCTCTCTCTATGTATCCCTAGCTGACCTGAAACTTGATACACAGACCAGGTTGCCCTGGAACTCAGAGATCTACCAGCCTCTGCATCCTGAGTACTGGGATTAAAGGCGTGCGCCACCATGCATGGCCAATGTACATAAAAACATTTAAAATAATAAAATAAAAGCCAATTTTATAGATAGATTTCACTTAACATAACAAGTAGCAGCCAAACTGTAAAGCGTACAATTTAATAAGTTAAAATAAATGAAACACAAAACATTTCTTTTATTCCCCAAGTCTTCTCAAACTCCCAGTGGTGCCCCTTCCTCCCTGCCTCACCTTATGGTCAGTGTAGACTGGTTCTCCCTTTCTGGAACAAACTGGCATTTGGACAAGTGAATACGATGATAACCCACATCAAAACATGTTTCACACGCACAAACAAACATACACACCGACATGCTCAGATACACACATTTGCACCCGCACAGGCTTCATTCTAAGAGGGTCCCTTCCTGTACACCAAGCAAGCAGTGTCAGGTGGCTCTGGAGAATATCTCATGAGCCTCGGCCATAAACCCAGAACAAGGAAGGGAGCATGAAAGGCATCTGAAAACAGGATTGTTCTCAGTACTCTCAACAGGAAGAGCCGTGGGTCACGCACAGCAGCGCGGCAGGCAATGAAGGTCTCAAGTCATCCAGGGGAAAGCGATGGGTGGTGGTAGTTAACAGTGAGAGCAAAAGCAGCTTAGTCCGCTGTGGGCGTTTGTTGAGCCACAGGTCAAGTGAGTTCAATGACAGGAATTTATTTCTCTTGGTTTCGGACATTAGATCTCCAGTATCAAGGTACTGGCCTCTTGGTTTCTCTGAGGCCTTTTGTCCTTGGCTTGCAAGTGACTGTCGTCTCCCTAATAAGGTCTTCCCTTTTGTATGATTCTGTCCCAATGTCCTTTTCTCCTAAGGACAAGTTGTTATATTGGATTAAAGTCCATTCATATGACCTGATTTCTTCATATCTACTTCTCTGTAGAGACCTTGACTCCTCCTATTGTTTGGATATGATTTTTGCTTCCTGAGGCTTGTGTGCTAGAAGCTTGGTTTCCTGTGTTTCGGCAACTTTAAAAGATAGCTTATAG